CCTGTCAAGTCCCTGTCAAGTCAATCCTCATTTGGGTCGTTTTTTTCGCAATACTTATGAGACCTAATCAGGTTGACTTTTCAATTCACACTTTGTTTGCTCTGTACATGAGAAAATTAACTATGTATTCGAATCAAACCCTCCGTTACTATTAGTTTACCATTTATGTTGCCGAACTGTCGCTAGCATTTGGTTAGCTCACATGAATAAATGTTTGAATATTTTAGTATCGATTATGATCCAAAATGTGTTGTTAACCCAAACCGAGAACGATGTAAATCCGAATACCGGCTGTAACTCCAAGTGCTATCCGGGCCTTGTACATCGTCGCTTTTAACGCAGGAACGGACACAATGACAAGTTACCGTTTCTTCTGGAAAATAATAATTTCTCATATAAGCAGTTTTCAGAAAGATGCAGTGAAGAACATATTTTGATCAGAGAATAAATTGTTTTGTTATGCGGATCTAAAATCCCGGTCACACTGTGATACGAATACATCGATTCAAATGAAGACCCAGTCTGGCAACACAGAAAAACCACAAGAATATACTCCACCAGAGCCCGATCAGATCGTTCACCTCTCTCCCTCCCTCGGTTCTATATGACCCAACACACCTTTTGTAGCCTACCATGAAATTCGGAACTCAAACATCGTAGCTTTGGTTTCCTCAGATACAAATTAAACCGGAAATAAGTTTCAAACCTATTCACTAGTAGAAACAGGTGGTGAAGCAGTTCACTTGATTACAAAACAGGGACCCTCACATATAGAAGATGGAAACGTGGTTGAAAGTTGGGAACTCTAATATAACTGTTTAGCACACTTCTATACGGGACACGATGCATGCAGAAAAAGGGAAAAGAGCTGATCGTTTGTTTCGTGCCCAGATGACCGCGAAGCTTGTGCTCTCTTTGGCAGGTCCCCAGTTCTATCCCCAGCTGGATAAACGCATTCGCGCTGCAGTTTTTGCGTGGTGATTAGGATTCAAAATAACCGACGGACAGCGCGGTTATAAACATTATTTTATCTTAATAGTGATGCTCGGATTTAGCCTAAAGTGAGAATTCAAGAGAGTCACAGTGGTTCTAAACTGCTCATTGTATATCCGGTATGCACGGATTCGTAACTGGATACTGAAAGAAGTATGAAATATAGCCCAAATGTCCCCACATCCAGGACAGACACGTATTTATCTCTTTACCGATTGATCTGAATTCTGGGTGAAGGATAAATTGCAAATTCTCAACTAACGAGTTTGGGGTTTCTGAAATTCATACCTATTTTGGAATTGAATTTGTTCTTGCTGTGGTTCACATACGCTCCTTGTAATAATATGACTCTGGTGAAAAGCTCCGAAAACCGCCAAAGCACAAACGCACATACAGAACGATGTAAACTTTCTCCCTCCACCCTACGCCTGTGTTCAACAAGGCGTATTAATCAACAATGCCTCAAGACTAGTTTCGTTTTTCAGATGTCTGTATAAGGTGGTCGCTGTAGGTGGCCAGGTGGATGGATAGATGAGTGAAAACGAACCAAAAGGGAGATAGTTATGGGGGGATTTATGTACAAAATAATCAATTGCTTAGACCTCACGTGAGTAGTTCAAAGGAGGTAAACAACAAGGAACAAGGGAGTGAGCATACGAACGAGAGGTTGTGGAACTTTCATCACTTGGCGTCACAAATGAGGCCGGATGAAGCGGGTTGGGCACCAGGAGACTTTCTCAGTCTCCTCCACTCTCCTCTCTCCCTCTCTCACTCCAGATGATAAGCCCTTTGTTGTCCTTTTCTTATTTTTAAATTATATATTCAATCAGGGTGACATTTAAATATGAACCGGTTACATCTGTCTATCATTATACTCCCCTGCCCAAGGTTTCCCGTGGTGCATTGTCTGGTCAATACACACACACACACACACACACACGAACGCCCTGAGTAGATACGTTCTTGACAGACTGAACACTGAGATGTATACCAGTTGTTGCATGAACGGACATGGTAATAAAAAATCCCTCCCCCTGAGAAAAATATTGTACCGTGTACCCGTGTCTCCTCACTAGGGTTTTGCAATATCTCCCCTACTGTATGCAGTGTGAATGATAATCAAGTTGAAAGCCTAAAAGAAAAATGTCATCAAATCATTTTATTTTATTTTAAAGAAACATGTATAGAAGCACTCCATTCTCTGCAACAAAATATTGCACTCGTATATCAAAGTACGATAGTTTAGTTGACAAGACTGAGCTTAATTTAGGCAGGACTAACTCCATCCTTGTTCTATATTATGGTAAACCTGCCTATAGTATAGAGGATAATTGATAATTCATTGCGGCAATTTCCACAGGGCTGCTGATATGTAGAGTCTAGGTTTTGACAAACCGATGTGACCTCGGTTCATTTGACACAATAATGACAGTAGTCAAGTGATCACATCATTAGGAGGTATCGTGAAGACGACTCTGAAGTGTCAAGTGCGTCGGCATATGTCGGTATCAAGTATGATTCGTTGAAAGAGACTAAACAGTAGAAAAAATCAAGAATTGATGTATTTTGTGCGATTACATGTGCAGCAAACATGAGTAAGCTGAATACTGTAACAGATCTAGATCCACCGTACCACGGTCGTTAAAACAGAACCAGTGGAGCAGAGAAATAAGACGGTTTGAACGCGACAAAAACTTTTGTCAAATACAAAAGCAAGTTATTTAATCTGGAATAGGACTGGTTGAATCACGTCCGTGGGGTAAAAACCGAACTTGAGTTGAATGGTTCAGTTACAGCCTCACACCGAACAATTAGAACGGTTCCTTGGATAGAAGATACAAGATGAGGTGTCTCAGTCAGACTGAACACGTGATTCAATTGAAAGAGGTGTTGAACAACCACACTATTGATGGACTTGATCTTGTCGATGTTCATTGAAACTGTGTTTGGTGCCCGCGAACTCATTCAAGTAAGCATCTGATCATTCTGTCCATCTACACTGCTCCACAGAAACAAGTTAATGAGCATACCTGAAAACATGCAAGTTATGTTTGATTTAGAAAAAAGAATGTGAGTAATATTAGTGTGATTGATTTTCAAACTTGACGGCAGAAGTTACTTTCCGAGATATTGTCAAGAAAGTAATAAAATTCTCAAAAGTAACCCGACGTATGAGATCTGCATAAGTTCGCTTATGTGTTTCGCAGAATGAGCTCAAGGAAACCGTCGTGGTTCTCTTACCAGGGTAGATGCATCACATTGGTTTGCCGATTTAAAGGTGTAGTGCTGGTGGGCATGCAATGATATTTGGTTTGTCAGTAGTAGTATAAAGAAACCATTTTCCAATAATTACAGAAATCTAATTATTGTATTATTATAACAAATAATAATGGTAACAACAGTAGTAGTGGTAATAATCATAGTGATTGAACAGTGTTCCTCTTCTAAAAAGTACTCCCTTCGTGAGAATATATAGTCCCGGTTCTGACTGGTTTTCCCAATAAACTCTCAAGTGCGATCACTTTTGAGCGAACATAGTCAATGGGTCGTATACACTGATATCGTCTGGTCTTGTGGTAAACACAACACGTAGACATCGTCTGCGAAGATAAGTATCAAATTTTACACTTGACTACATGTATGCGAACATTGTAGATCATATGGGTGGAAAGGCGTTGCAGTCATTTGACACCCGCGTAGGTTGTGTTGTTATGTCCAGCTGTTCAAGACAGCGGAGGAATAGCATTATTCATCTATATATCAAGTAATAGCTTTGAATCGGCAGTGTGGACCAAACATGAGGTGTTCTCCTTAGTGAGCGTTTTTCATGGTCTCTTCAGATTGGGATCGGCACAGCATCATGTGTGGATGTACAAATCACTGGCCAATCGGATTCCGCTCCCTGCTCCTCCCACTCTTCCCTCGCCTCCCCCCCCCTAATTCGTCCTCCAAGGAGAAAACGGAAGCACATATGGTGGATTAAAACCAAATGGCCATCAGAAATGACTTGTAATTCAACCAAATTTTCGCGACTACTTTTTCCGACTACTCAGTCTATTCAGTTCATACGATCATTTAGAATGGTCGCTGTCAGTGCAACTGTTGCCCATCGGTCAT